GTATTCACAAAAACCGAATAAATGGCCTTGTTTTATTTCTGTTACTTTCTTCAGGGATACCCTGAAAGATCCATGGAGCAGCGTAATTCAGAGCCTGTTAAAAAAGCTCTCTTGCATTAGAACATATTAACTCAAACACATGGTATTCGACTACCAAGAGCTTATGGGCGTTCAGTAGTGACGCAGAACGATTCTTAATTCCCATCAATGCATTCAATAAAGACCCATATTTAGTATAAAATGAATACTGGTAAGGATTTAAGTCCCTTGTAGGTGGCTTTCTCTTTAACGTCTCTGGGTCATCAGTAGAGGCCTCCAAATGACTAACGAGAACACTGTAATCATGCAAACACTTGATGCAATGCACCTCACTCCTAACACACGTAGTTCATGCTGGGGTTTTGGTAAAGCTAGGGCCGTAAAAAGGTATCTAGGGGCCCGGGGGCAAATCTCCATTCGGGGATCCCTCCAACATTTTTGATAACTCGTTCATCTGCGAGTCCCTTCACTTAGGGGGACCGGGAGCAATGCCCCCGGCGCACCTCCCCTTCACGGCCCTAGGTGAAGCCGAATAGGAACTGTACAGTTTATCAAAGAAACATTTCATATGATCAACATCATTAATTTCCCAGACAGCATTTTGACTGCGAGCTCCAATCGATAATTACATCAATTCCAAACGAGGGCATCTGGTAACATTCCCACCAACAGAGTAGCGACACATTCTTTCTTCCTAACACACTTACTGAATTCAGATGTAATCGTTATTCTAGAAGCTGGTGATGCAGTGAAGGAGAGAGTCAGCTCAGCAGCAGAAATGGCAGGAGATAAAATGGACGAAGCAAAAGACGCAGTACAGTCTGCAGTGGAAGGTGTAAAAACAAAGATTGATAATCTAGTGCCGTCTTCTGAAGAAAACGATGTAGATATGGAAAAGGGAGAATCAAATGAAGAAGAAGATGAGACAGAAACACCAGCAGCAGCTGGTGAAGGAGATGAAGCAGAGGAACAAACTGAAGAAGCTGGAGAGGACACTATCGAGGATGCTTCTGTTTCAGATACAGCACCTGCTGAAGGAATAGAAGAAGTGGAAGCAGAAGAAGGTGTGAAAGAAGAGGGAGAAGAGAAGAAGGAAGGAGGTGAAGAAGAAAAAGAAGAGGAAGGGGAGAATAACATGGAAGCAGGAGAAGAAAAAACAGAGACTGGAGATGGAGAGGAAAAGAAAGATGATGAAGAACAGAGTAAAACTGACTGAATTGTACAGAAATATTTTGACTCAAGAAATACTTTTAAATATGAAGAAAGTGTATAAAATGAAGATAGCTAAGAAAATTATAAGGAAACTTGTACAGTATCCACTGTCCAAAATGCAAGTTTCTTGAGGAAGAATGAAATGAAAGGGTAGTAGAACTATTAAGTTTGTGATAATCACGTTGTTTGAATTTATAAATCTGAAGATCTTACTGCTCTGTGCTTTTCCAATTGAAAACGCAATTATGCACACTGAATAAATTATATTCAACAAGAGAAATCACTTGACTCTTATTAAATGTTAAATCAGCTAATTAAGTTAATTTAAACAGGGTTATTTGGCAAATTATTTAGACAAAAGCGGTCGTTATTTTAAGAGAATATAACAAAGTACATAGACTAGTTTAATATATAACCAGAATATGCTGACGCCAGGCCACTGAGTCTTTGTATTCTTAAGAACATAGAATATGTGTGATCAAATTTTTGTTGACATAAAAGGAATTTTATGAAGCCTCAAACTGTTTCAAGATTTAAAAAAATGTGAGGTTCATGATAAGATTTAACATTCTGCCAATTCATCGAACTAGTTTCATGAAAATGGTACTCAATATATGTGAGCATAAATGCAGGAAAGAGAACAAGCCCTTTATTAGTTACTGCTCTATTTCTATTGGATGAAAGGTTAATGATATAGGGTAGTATACTATATTTTACTTCAAAATTTGAAAAAATAAATAAATAAATCATAGATAAAAATCACAAGTATAGAAGAATTGAAATTAGACAAAATATATATATCACTAGTAAGAGTTATTTTGATGTGATACAGTGACTCATTATAAATTACATTTAGAACTAATTCTACAATACCTGACTTCATAATCACAGTCTTGTTTTGAGCAATTATAGAAATGCACTAAAACATTACTTTGCACTTCAATATATTATGAAAAGTTAAGTTATGTAACCTGTGAATATTTAAGATATAATAAAACATAAGATCAATTACAATATTCTTTTTTTGTAACTTCATATCTACAATAAAAAAGAAATTAATACAAACTATGTAATTAAGTATACTTATAACTATACAAAATAGGGTTCAAGCTACAGTGCATTTATAAAGATTTCTTTAAAACAAGTTCCTTCTCTATAGATGACATATTTAAATTTCATATTCAATGACACAATACCATGGATTTTAAATGATAGCTCAAAACTTCTAATAAAACCTTTTTTTTTTTTTGGCAGGACTTGTTTGCTTATTATACTATTCGCTTATAAATAATATTAAGATGTGATAGAAAGCAGACTCATAAGAAATTTTATGTTAGTGTATTCCTCCCACTTTTCACTCTAAGTAGCAGTTGGTACAATCGGCACATTTTATGCTGTACCACAATTGAAGTGTAATACAAAAATATATATAGTCCACGACTTTAATCTTGAGACTTGCAAGGAATGCAGAAAGTCTGTAGCGTTAAAGGCAGACGCTATCTTTCCTCCTTCCTCCTTCACCCCACTTCCTCACCCCGCAAGTCTCAAGATTACAGTCGTGGACTGTATTTATAATAGCACTGCCTAGAGATCAAGCATCATTATGTAATTAATTTAATCATGACACATCCCTTCAATGGAATACAAAATTTAAAATAAGCTACAGAGATTTACCATTATTTATTGTACTGCATACATTAAGAAGAAAAAAATACAAATTACACAAAACAATGGCAGTATAAACGCTGACGTACAGTACTGAGACTTGTATAGAAGTGTGTCATAACATTTTAATAAAATATGGCTGTAAGGAAACTATGAATTTTACAACCTAACCCCTTTCAAGTTAAGTGTCTTTTTCACCCCCATGCAAACCTCTCCCTTGCTTATGTTTTTTCACTGGAGATAGCTGGTTGAGGATTTTCATCCATGCTGAAGAAATAAAAGGCTTCATAGTAACATTTACCAGAACTAGTAGTTACTCTCTCTGCCCTAACACATTTACACTTTCAGACTATTACTAAAATAACATGCACCAAAATATAATCTAATATCTATGGTGTAATAACACACAGATACTGTAAACAACAGCTACAATGTGTGAACTGCACAAAAAGGACCTCTTTGGCCAATCAGTCAATGAGAGACAAGTACAATATTGCTTGATGACGACACACATTTTGTACTTACCCCAAATGAAGTGTAGACCAGGGCTCTCCAACTATGGCTTGTGGGAACAATGCTGGCAGAAAAAATCTTAATTTTCCCAATTCATTTTCCTTATTTTAATGTCAAAATAGCCTGTGCCCGAATTTATAACTTGTGTTGGGCAAGATCGTGGTCTAGGCAACACGGGGTTTTCCTCCGGGGGCTTCCCCGGTTTCTCCATTCACACACAGAAGCAGGCAATGGCAAACCACTTCTGGATCATCTGCCAAGAACGTATATGAACAGGTCCCAGTCCGAGAAAAGGATGGAAGGATCCTGTTCATATGGACCTGTCGCCAGACAGAACACTAAATAAAATAATTTAAAGAAAACTTTTAGAGTACAGCTCACAAACACTGAATTTAATGGTTCTCTTGTAAAAACGTTTGGAGACCCCTGATCTAGATAATGGAGAGCAGTTGTAAAATTTATCTTCCAAAGAATGTAAAGTTTTATAAATATGGTAAGGAAATCTTTACCACATTTCTAGTGTTCTGGATAACCTCAAATCTCATTTTACAAATGTTAACCAGCAGGATTATTGTGTAAGATATATGTACAAAAATAGCCAAGAACTTGAACCAGAAACATTAAATTCCATTTGAAATGATAGCAGTGCTGTGGACATTGAGATAGGAAGAAAATAAATGACTAATTGTTCCCATTAGACTTTGACTTGTTACGCAAGAGAGCTAACTAATGGGCAGATAATAAAATGACATAAACATGAAGTTAGAGATAGCAGTGTGTTGGAGCATGGAGGTCTGCACAGGCTGAAATTTTAGAATTTCACCCAGCCCAAGCACAAAGTTTTTATTAAAATGTGTTACTCGTACCCCACCTAAGCTTGATTTTCCTTTTATTCCAGCCTGAATAAAGCCTGATATATTTAAAATCTGAACTGATTATTGTATCATTGATATGTTTTTTATTTTAATGCATAAATACCAGAAATCCTCGAATGAATTATTTAATGACACTCTTAGAACTGAGAATATTATTGGAGTTCCAGAAATGGTACAAACACATCAGATGCGAAGATTGTAAGGTGTTACCTCAAACTATTTCTGGGAGGGGCAGCAATGAAAATCCCAGAAAATATCAAGCTGATGGGATTTGTTTCTGTAAGCCAACAGTGTCATGAACATAAGATGAGCACAACTTTAAACAACCTCAAATACCCACCCCAACACGGGGGGGGGGGGGGGGGGGGGAGAAAAGAAAAAAGAGGAGTCTAAAAAGCCTGAAATGTTCTACATAATGTATGATTGCTATAATTTGAACCAGGCCCAAATCTGCATCATCTGTGCTACAAGGCCTAGGCCCACTTTCAGGCTGGGCCTGCGCACACTTTTAAAAGAGTATACTACTAAATTGTTAACCCTGGAGTTAAAATCTGGTTAGCGGACCTGTAGTATGGATGTTTAAAACCTATATTTTCATATGATAAAGTTTAAAGAGCATTAAGTGTTGCTATATACTGTCAAAGGAATTAATTTCTGGGAAATTTAAAGTGGTGAAATAAGCAATTTTCATCATGATTAAATGAATATAAACTTTTTAATGTTTACATGTTATCCACATTTCCACATTCTAAGCACCCAATTTAGCATTTGTATATTGAAACAATCCACATCAATGTCACATATCATGACTTAAGAAATTTATATAATATTAACAACAGTTTTGTCACTGAACAGATTGTTTCTTGTGGAGTGTACAGACAGAATAATATATTCCTTACTGAAATCATTAGCATTTTAATCAAGTTAATGCCACATTTAGTATGTAAGAAAACACAATTCCTTAATAATTCTAATTATAAAGCACTCTGTATTTCCTATTTCTTACTAATAATTCAACAGAAACATTTAACAAATAAACCAATGAAAATAACACCTTTATATTTTCAAATGCTCATTCACATTCCACAGATACAAATAAGCAACGAGAGATTCCATTGTAAAACATATTCCTTACAGCTTTGTTTTTTTATATTTAGCAAGTTCAATCTACCATTTCTCCAACCACTGCAATGGCTTCAATTTCAATTTTTGCATCCTAAAAATGAAATGCAGAAACAGACTATGAATACACCGAAAAAGACCTTGGTAAGTGATGTAACTTTCTGGTAGTTACACTTTTCATCCATGGAAAAATGTGCAGAGGAAAGAAGCAGGGAATGAGGTGTTGGTTTGGAACATAATTAACATTCACAATGTTTACTTAGCAGGTTGAAAATCACAAACGTTTTTAAAATAACAGGTATCATAAACCAAACCTAGTATCAAAATATACCATAATTGAAATTTACAAGATTCTTGCTAGATAAACTGACTTATGATAGTGAATCACAGACTATTTGCAGTAATGATATTGGATTACACACTTTTAGACCACAAAAGATATGAAGAACTTATGGACATTATGGAAATGCAACTAAACATTATACAGTACTTGTGGGTTATCAGGACACATCGCTTTAAAAATAGGTTAGGTTAGGTTAATATGTGTGGATAAATGACATATACTTGAAAGTTATTATATTTTATTTCAATAAATGACAACTAACCTAACCTAACCTATTTTTAAAGCGATGTGTCCCGATAACCCACAAGTACCCATTATACCAATAATAGATTATATAACACAGTACCATTAAAACTGGAAAGAACATGGACACAGAATGATTTCTGGCAGGATACCAAAAATTATTTTGGGATACCACCCAAAAGGAAAGAGATGTTTGGGCTGACCCCTCAAAAAATGAAAGGATTCTCTTATGTAATGCTTGTCACAGGCCATAAAGCCTACACTGGAAAGGAAGAAGAATTTGGATAGTTATGGTGCATCCATCATTAAAAATAGACCGTATTGTCTTATGAGCTTTTACTTACAATAGTACCACCCATAAGAAGTCAAATTTTACATGTTTGCTTTCTTATAGTGGGCTGTGATGTTGCTACATTTCTTCCATAAGATGGGGAAAGCAAGAGAGAGGTTACTTGTTCTGACAAAGATTTTAAATCCAGTTTAATAATAATGTATTCCCAGTTCAGATTATCACTGCCAAAGCGAATAATCTACTCATAAAATAAAACTCCACTTACCAATGGAAGCTTTGCTACTTGGTAAGCAGTCCTTGCTGGATATGGTTCCTTGAAATCTGAAATATAAATATGAAATGTATTTAACTTATTCATTAATTTGAAGAAAATCAAAGGCTTTATTACCACAAGAACAAAAATCAGCAAGTAGGTCTTACTGTATGCCACTTCAATCCAATCTGAATTATCACACACAATTTCCTCTTGAAAACATTACAAATGAAAATAACAAATTATGTGGTTTTACTGCCAGTACTATAACATGACAACTTACATTGTTTGTAAAGATCATTCACGGTAGCAAAGTCATTAATGTCTGCAAACAGTACTGTGGTTTTCACAACTGAAAAGAGAGAAAATAAATATTTAACTGATACACAGATATCTTACTTTGACATGGTGGCCATACATGAAAAAACACAACTATTCTGAAGCTACTAGTAAGATAATATATTAAAAACTGCAATATAAAATGTGCTTTAGCCTTATAAATATACTCTGCAACTTCTGATATTAATGATTTAGTTATCTGCTGTCATTACATAAAATGCAGATTTCTAGGAGTAAAATAAAATAAAAGGGTGATTATGTATGGTAAAATGAAAAGGACTGGGAAGGAAACAGATGCGACTTCATGACACTATCCTGGCATTTGGTTGGAGATAATCAGGGCAACCGTCAATGAGACATTGCTATGAGGTAGTACTTTAACCTCATATCTCCAAAATACATTACACATATTAACACTTAAGCTAACCTGTTAATTTAATTAAGAGATATTTTACATGAAAAAATACCATTTCCATAACTAGAATTTGCTGCTTCCAGAATGTGCTTCAAGTTAATAAATGCTTGCTTGGCTTGTGCAACGGTATCTCCATCGACCAACTTGTTTGTACTTGGATCCAATCCAATAACTCCAGATAAATACACTGTGTTGTCTATCACAACAGCTTGGCTGTAACAAAAGGTGTAATTGCATGGGAAGCTTCAGAAGTAGTTCACAATAGTAACACATAAAAAAGAATACTCAAAAGGATTATATTTCATGTTATGTGGTTCCCTGCTTTTACCTGAAATGCCAGAATTGTTGTACCATGTGTATGTTTCTAAACTTGTTGATACTGTTAAAGGTGTTAATGAATAAGTGCTATAATAACCCACACCATAGGAGCAATGTAGTAATTAATTCAAAGACACTGACCTAACAGAAATAAACTTTGAAATTTTGCAACCGTCATAAATAGTGAAGAAACTTTAAAATAATCACAATTAACACTTCTAGTACAAAGAGAAAACTTTGTTACTTAAATAAAAATGGTCAAACTCTGGCTTCCAAAAACTGGCTAGCCATTTGACCTCACGGAAATAATAATCATTATTGAGTTTTATTACAAAAAGGCAAACTCTTTAAACTGTGTTATGTAACCATAAATAACTTTCCCACATTTCTTGTTTTCAAGGACAAAATTACTGGAAGTCACTTACTTATAGGGAGCGACTGGTTTAGGAGCTAAATCAGTGCTGACGATCCTCCTGACAACGCTTTTCAACATGATGCCACAAGCTGCTTTCCACTACACAGAAGACGTTAACGTACACTAGGCACAAAATCCGTACTCTCTTTGTAACACAAACTAAATCAGATTATAATGGAATCCTGTTCAAAGTTCGCTCATTTCCTGTTGTTGTTGGCAATCACAAAACTTCCCCATAAGTTTAAAAATATACCGAAAATTGGTCGCACTGATTAATAGCGCAATCTCGTATGAATATTCTTGAACTATTGACATCCACGGTTGTACCCTGGGTTTTGACGCCGTGTGGTTTTACGGGTGATTATCAACGGTAGAGGGACGTATGTCTTTGATCTTCACCTTCACGATCACATGATGCCACAAGTCACAGTCGTTTAAATCATGCTCTAAAAACATTTAAGCCAGCATTGAAAGATTATGTTTTATCACATTGCTCCTACTCTACAGAAGAATTTATTTCAATTGCATCATATCAAATACTACGAAGGCGCAGTATAGTCTGATAGATGTTTGCCAATATTTCAGAGGTACTTGCTGCCTCCATCATCGGGGCCACCAGACTACAGGACGTTACAACCCAGAAGGCAGTCATCTTCATACTCTCTGCGGTGAAAACTTCAAATTATAAATATTTAGTTTAAAGACTCAACTTAGAAGGGCAATGAGGTCGGTTTCGTGTACGACAGGATTTACGGCGGGGTTGCGTTCATAAGGGAAAAATTACGGTCCAACAATTGTATTATACTGGCATTTAGTTTTGATTCCGAAGGTTGGGATCCATGTAGTTCAGTTTGACTCGGTATAAAGTCGCAAGCAGACGACACGAAATCAATCGTATTCTTTTGCAATAAATTAGTGCTGTGGGAACATTTATAAGTTGGGCTTCTGATAAGCATTAATTAATGTTAAAAATCGTATTCAGCCAATAAATTCCACATTAATGAAGGAACGAGGTTGCTTTTTTTTCGTGATAAAGTCTAATGCCGACACGTGTGTTTATTTGGCCTATGTGAGGGAGGCGCTAGTGCACGGCAGATGATTTGATTGGAGGACCTGACGTCTGACTGCAGAATGCTAGGGTGATTGCAGGCTTAGCCATCTTGACCATCCTAAAATGTATTCTAACTTTATAGAAACATATTTCGTGCGGTAATATAATTTTAGGCAAGTGAACGCTAATTACCTTTCTTCCGCAGTTACTAATAGTACGAGGTCTGGTTATGTACTACAGAACGTCAAAATAATGGAATTTTTATGTGCAATGGTGCCAATATTGTACAACCGTTCACATTGTCATACTTCATTTGCGAGAATGAATTAAGAAGAGGTTAGGAGAATGTAGTATTGCCATACATGGAGCATTTTTTATGTTAAACTGATTTCAGCTGCAAAATAAATAGGTTTTGATTCTCTACATCGAATTACTATCGTGGTACAATATCTAAATATGACGGAATAATTTACTCACCTAACTAACTAGGTGGCTTAGGGAACCTGAAGGTTCATCACCGAATTAACCAAAGCCCTCCACCGGACCCTGACCTGTGCCAGCAAAATCCAATCGCCTTCAACACCTATCTCTCATAGATCCCGCTTGATATTATTCTCCCATCTACGTCTACGTCTCTCCAGCGATCTCTTCTCTTCAGGCTTCCTGACCAATACCCGGTGATCCCTCTTGCTCCATCCATGTGTGCCACATGCCCCACCCATCTCATTCTAATTGACTTATTCTCCCTGACAATACTGGGGGAGGAGTACTAATTTTTAAGCTATTCCTTTTGCAGTTTTCTCCATAACCCATTCTGTATTCTCCCAGGCCCAAATATACTCCTCAACATTTTATTATCAAACACTTGTTATCTGTGTTCCTCCCTGAGAGTGAGAGATCATGTTTTATACCCATACAAAACAACAGGCAAAATTATTGTTTTGTATGTTTTTATCTTTAGGTTATTTATTCACCTAACATAAGATATTAACCTAATATAATCATGGTGTCTGGAGTAACTTTTATTATACATACTTGGATGTTTTAGAAACTGAGGAAAAGTGAATTGAAGGTACCCCAGAAAAGAAGTCTTTCCCAAACAGTGCCTGAGACCCCAAGCAAATGATTGTCAGAAATAACAGGAACTAATGTATTTGAGATTACATTTTTATTTTATTTTAGGTTTTACAGTAATATATAAAATATAATGGAAAACAACATGGCAGAAAATAAACCACAGTTTGACATGCTGCTTGGTGGAACCCAGAACCTACCCCTGGAATTTTCTGTAGGGAGGTTTGCATCAGCTCGAGCACAAGAAATAGCAGCCTTAACTCAAGCTATAGGTAAGTGTAATATTTCAGCAATTGAATTATATAGGTGATTAAGAGTAGGATCAGAACCATTGCTGATATTTTGGTATGCAAAGTCCCAGCCGTAGCCCGTACCCCACATTAATCTGTAGGAATGTGTTGCTGGTATTCTGACAAACAACAAGGAAACAATTTCCTTCATATCTATTTGGATAAACTAGTCAGAATGTAAGCTGATCACTGTCTGTCAAGTGCTTATGTCTTAGAATATGTGTTTTACATCTGTCTCTCTTCATGGCATGGTGCAGAAGCAGAGGCAACTTTACTTTTATAATTTTTGCTCTGCAATAATTAGCCACACTAATATAAAGTTGTTTTTTGTTCTTTGTATAGAAAATCCTCAGAGGACAGGATTGGTATTCCAGAAACTTCCAAAACATATGAGAAGACGTGTCATGAGTCGCACTTCTAAACGCTTGCCGAGAAGACTGAGGGAGGCACACATACATCAGGTTTGTGTTTTCACAGAATTTCATGGGGTTGGTTGTTTTCCATGTTTCTACTTTAGTTTAATTTCTTTATAAACCCACTTCTTTCTTACAAATAAATAGGAAGAACTACTGATTTTCCAAACATCCTTTCCCTGTCTGCCACCAAAACACAAATTCCTTGTGTCTTGACTGGGAGACAGATGTATTGGCTGGGAATTTTGTGGTTTTCCTCATTTCCTCCATACCAATCTAGGGATGACCTTAATGCAGGCTTTGATTTATTCTAAAGTCTTCTGGGTGTTACACTATGTCATAATGGTAAGAATTACCAATGTTTTGGAGGAACTTGGTGTCTCCTTCTTTGGGGTCATAGGAGGCAGCAAGTTCCTACAAAATGTTGGCAGTTTTATTACTTTGTCACTGTGATATCCAGAAAGTTCTGTATTGAATATAGACCTCTGTGGGAACCTCTCCTCCTGTTTGTTATTCTGCATAACATAAACACTGAAACTGACACATTGTCATTAAATAAAAGAAGAAATAAGATGCAGAATAATTTGATTGCCCAATTTCTTGCCATGTATCATTTTATAATAAATGATTGCTTTCATTTCTCTTTAGTTGAGAAAAAGTGGATTACCTCCAGAACCGAAGAGACCTAGCAGAAAGTATAGGCGTCGTCCACAAAATTTACTTCTTGAGTACAATCGTCGACAGAAGAAATATGTCTGGTTGGAAACCCATTTATGGCATGCTAAGAGATTCCATATGACTGAGAAATGGGGTTATAAACTGGCAGACTTCCCAAATGATAAGAGCTTTCGGGCTTGCTATCGAGCCACAGCTAATCACTGCTTGCTTCAGGTAATATTGTGCTTTGTTATCCATGTGCAGGAAAATAATTATTATCTGGGCCCAGAAGGCCTATTTTTTGCAGTACTATTAAGGTAGTTACTTATATAGTCTACTAATTAGAGCCTCATTTACAATTACATACTCAGTTAATGGATAAATATTTCTTTCAGCAGTGTAACATCCTTCTTACGTATCATTTCCTCGAAAGGAAGTATAAAGTAGCGTGGAGAGTCTGGTTTATAATTGATATTGATCTGCAGGGGAAAAATTCAGTTCCTCCAGGCACTCAGACCCCTATTATGCGCACCCCTCCCCCCCAATCTTCTTAGGGCCTTTCAGAGAGCCTGACTCCAGTTTTCATCATATCTAGCCATGCAGTGTCGAAGATCTGTAATCAGTGCCAGCGAACACTTGGCATTGACAGTGTGTGTGGTAGGAGGATTCCTCCTTTTGTCCACATTTTCTGCACTTGGTGCTGTCCGAGATGCCCAGGATATGTAGGTACTACCTTAATCTACAGTGGCCAGTGAACAATCCTTTTACCACTCTGTATTGTTTTCCTCTCCAAGGCCAGAAGGCTGTCCTATGAAGAGCTTTGCCTCAGATCTGATATGATGTCCCTCTCCTTCAGCCACTACGTGACCTTGAGCCTACCATCACAGGATGAGGTTTAAATTTATTGTTTAAGACTTAGGAAAGGACTGCGTTATCTCTCCCTAGTGAAGGCATCCACATCCTTCTTACCCTGAATCCCATAATGACCAAGGACCCAGAGGAGTGTAACCTTGTTCTGACTGGACAGGGCACAAAATGACTGTTGATATAACCCACAATGCCTCAAGGACCTGCAAAGCTGCCTGTCCTTAAATCCCCTGTAATATTTGTCAGATTTAATAGTCAGAATTCTTTATCCTGTCATTCTGATTATGTATGACTAATAAAGTCGTATAACTCAAGTTTTATGATGATCCTCTGCTTATAGGATATATCATACTATAGCTGCATTGAGTTGAATGGCCCGATTGACCAGCTATTGGGTCATCTGCAGAAGCTTACCAGTAAAGAGTGTGGATTGACATTTGAAGCAAAAGCATTTTTAGATGGCACACGAGAAGGTTCTGTGATGCTGTTCCATCAAAACACATACCCATGTGGGGCAATAGGAAGGGTCAGTTTTTTGTGGAAACCAACAGAGAAACTTAAATCTGATGATACACAAATGAGTGAAACTAGAATCGTATGGATTTGGGTGCATCCTGCAATGTATCAAGAATTGTTAGATGAATTAATAATGTTATTCCATTTTACTGTAATTAGTAATGCAAATGATACTGAATTGAACAAACTGTCGTGTTCTCATGGAACAACTGATGAAAATTCTTCCACTTCAGATATGAGAAAATCAGAGGAAATCATATCATCACCAGCTAAGAAGAAACGTAAATTTAATGAAACGAAAGAGAAGAAGGATGTGGAGAAAACAAAGCTTGCAACAAGGAATGTTCCATTTATAAGAACTCCAAAGTATCGAAGTAGTAGTGGCAGTATAGAAATGGTTTTGCTGAAAGACACACTGAACAGATTCCGGCTTACTGGCCCTCTCTCACAGGCTGTACTATTAGAATCACTGCACACTGCCAACATTCCAGAAAATATATCACAGAAGAATAAAACTAATTCCAAGGAAGGGGAGAAATCATTAGATATAAGTGCAGTTTGTTTGCAGCCCCATAATGTGTCAGCTGACAATTTCAAGATGGGGAAAAGTGAGGATTGGAGAATGGATTTTTTTGGAGTATCACATCATAAGGAATCATGGCATTATCAGGAAACACTGTGGCAGACACTAAAAGGAGCAGTGTCACCTGCGCAGCTCCCACCCCATTTAGTGCTGGCTCTCACAATACAAGATCCAAGATTGCAACTGCCTTCAAAAAGAACAAAAGCTGTGCCAGATGAGAAAGGTGAGATCACTCTGGTAGTAGAACTCAACAGTTTAACTTTACTAATGCTAATGCCTATCAGCTAATGTTATCTTGAGCTAGTTCCACATGTCCGTCAAACTTTTGTATACATTTTTGTCTCATTCAAACTACATGCGAACTCCATCATAGCCTTTTAGTGCCATAACAATACTAACTGGTTTAAATCACAAATTTTTGTTCATGTGTTTGGTCACCTTTAGGAGAACCTCATTATTTTGTTCCATCTCCTCCCTGCAATTTGAACCCTGTGTATTAAGAGTTAAAAATCCTTGCCCCCCTCCAGTCATGCTTCACTCCTAATTAAAAAAAGATTAAAGCAGTGAAAATTCTTTGGTGCTCATAAAGAATGGCTTAAGTTAAACACAATATGTATTGACACAGGTCCTTCTAGAGCATTAAATCATAAGTTTGATATTTAATAACAGAAGAAAAATTACTTGTTTGTCCAAGTGCCATTTAAGTATTATGTAGTCTGTATGGATGACAGTATTAGGAGGAATGAATTTTAAAAACTTCATTGAAATTAAAAACATTTCTTTTGTGAAATTATTGGTAGTATCTTGGTATTAAAGTACATATATTTGTAATATGGTAATTTGAGTTCTATATAATATGATATGTCTAGCTTTTGATACTTTTCTCCCCAGCTATATGGGGACTGGAGTCTGAAGAACAAATCACATCATTGTCTTCATTGGCTTGCGTGAGTCCAATTTGGAGTCCTCACGTAAGAGACCTTGCCACTAGCTCCATGATGTCACTGGCTGAGATGGCAGATATCCGCTCTCGCAACCTTGTACCAGGATTTGTATTGGAGGAGTTTGAAGCTAGTGTTGGAGAAGACAGTTCAAATATCTCCTGTCACAACTCATCACATTCTTGTGTTCCCATTCTCCTCATCCAGCGACCTGGTAGTCAGGATCCAGTACAAAAGAGACTTGGTAAGTCCTTTATGTGAATCCTGTTACCAAATAAAATAGATTGTTAAATATTATTATTGTAGTCTTAGCAAAAATGTTTCATGCAGTGAAGGTTAGGGACTTTTGCCTGATCTTGGTATCCTGGGTGAGTAGGTGTTTGTGTTGTATTGGCAGGTTTCACTTCAGGCTGGGATGTTGTTATGCCTGCCGGATGGGCCTTACCTCTGTGGCTGGCTCTTGTGTTCCGTGGAGCCCGGGCAGGAGGACTACGAGAATCTGGGTCTTTGGGATTTGAGGCAGGCCGTGAATTACCTTTTGCTCCTGATACTGTATCTGGCAACAGTGAAGCAGAGGCACAAAGAATGCAACTGACTGAACGCTATTTCAGGTCAGCTTTTTTTACATGTTTAATATTCTTCATAGTTTAAAAAACATCTGTATTCCTTTCTCTGGAGTCAAGAAACCATTTCTGGATATAGGATTTTTCCATGTACAGTAATTATTATCTTTCACTTTGTTTTATCCGTGCCTAAGCGATGAAATGAACGCTTAACCAGATACTGGTTTACTGTGCAAAATTGACAGTGATTACATTGCATGGGTGCAGATATCTCATTTTTATATTGAGGTCACTTGTTTTCTCCAGTTTCAACAGGGGTTCAGAGTTGTAACCAACAGTCATCACAGTAAGTCCTTTGTTTTAATTTTCTGTCACCTTTTGTCAGCAGTAGTTTGCATCTGTGACTTTAATTTTCAAAATTATAAAGACTAAATTATATATAGTCACAGCAGTTGAAATTTCTAATTAATGTGTAATGTTTGCTTACAGAAATATTGACATAATCCCCTTCCACATCTTGTAAGCATTTGTTGGTTACTTTGTTGAAATTGGAACCAAAAAAAGAGGAACCTTAACCAAAAAGACAAAAATTATACCCAAAAATAAATTAACCCTCCAAAAAACAACAAATCCATAGAATAAAGAAAGTTTTGTACTTTTTTGTTTGTAACTTATGTAATACAGACTCTTATATTTCTTTGAAGTTCTCCATTTGTGTATTTTGTAGATGTTGATCATTCCAGTACCCTTCCTTGAAATTCTTTTCACCATAATTTTGTAAGTCCCTTATAATCACTGGCATTTTCCTTCCTCCATTTCCATTTTGTATCCAGTGAATTAGTTGGATTGGCTATATATGTTGTTCTTTTTTTTCAGGTTACCACCTGATAAAAGACCAAACTATGCCAAACTTGGCATCACAAGTCCATTCATTTGTTCTTGGGATATTCTTGTCAATGACTGGTCACAGATGACCCCAGAAAACGTTGCTGTTATTCGCAATACAGAATACCAGCCTTCTTCATTCAACATACAATTCTTTGTTTTACGAGACAGAAAGAAGTTAGAGTACCTGAAAGCTGTTATCAGTAGTCTGAACACAAAGAACATTACAAATACCTCTCAGAATGTTCGTAACTTTCATGAGTTAACAAACTTGTTCCCAAGTAGTACAAGCTGTTGTCTTGTGCCTGTAACAATTTATTTGTGTGGTAAAGGAAGACCAGCAGACTGTGCCATGATCTGTCTTCCAACAGAGATGGATGTAGACAGAATATCCAAGAACTTGCACAATCCAGGTCCAACAGAGGAGCCCCATATAGATGAACATCAGGCAGAACGCAAGGAGGTGCGGGCAGAACATAAGAAGTTATTAAAACGTTTACGTAGGAAGCGAGTGAGAGAGAGACGGAAGCTTGAAGATCTTGCTGCAGCAATGCATGGAGAATCTGAAGTTGAAAGTGATCATAAACACATTCCAGTAGTTGCCAAGAGGAAAACAAATGAACCTCCACCAACAAAAGATCTGACAGAAAAGCATGAAGAAAAATTACATTCTCTTTGGATGCCACGGACACAAATGGTAAAAGATTCATGCAGTCGGACAGTCATTGGTTTTATAACCAAGGGCGACTTCTGTTTCACAGAGTCCCGGGGAGCTGGTCAAGGATATGTGATACTTTCAGCTCTCTTGCAGTTGGTAGCAATGTATCAAAGGAGGTTAAGGGATGGAAATAAATTATCTACACCCTGGGTACTGGTAAGAAATCCCACCAATCTACAGTATCGCTTTGGAGTAATTAACATTCAAAGTGCAATGTAGCTTGTGTCACTGTGGAAGTGTATCATCAGTCTGACAGTTGTACAGTACTGAAAATCTTTATATTAAAATTGCTGTGTTATTATATAATTGTGAATTGAAATTCTTTAATTTAAATCCTTATACCATACTCACTTTATTTAGATGCACTCTATTTTGAGTATGTGTATTTTCCAAATGTGGTCTTTGCTATTTTTCATACCTCAGTGGCATATATGTTCATTTACTGCAGATATAAATCCACCGTTTCAAATCTAATAAAACTATACTGCTTAGAGTAAATAATTATTTTTATTAAATGTTTGCCATATTGAAAAATATTTGAAGTAAACAGTTTAGATGTTAACTGAAGAAGGGGATTTAAACACCTGTACTGCAGGGCTGTGGCTGGACTTCAATGGTTAATGGTTAAGTGGTATGCTAATGCAGTGCGTGGCCAGATGGACTGTGTGTAAACTATGGCACAAGGTCTTTAAAGGCTAAAGATATTTTACATCCTATACTTATGGATCTAGATAGGCAAAATAATATGTATTTAAATTAAACCTGCAGTAAAATCCATCTGGGTAAATAACTGTGTGATGTATAATACATTCTTCTTCGGCTACCAGCTGTGTCAGGTGGTTGAAAGGTGAAAAAACCAACGTTTCGAGAACCATCTTCATCTTCGTCCTAAGAATACTGAAGGTACAGGAATTCAGTACCCTGAGGATGAAGATGGTTCTCAAAACACCGTTTTATCCACCTTCAACGACATGCCATGGCTGGCAGCCTGAGAAGAATTTATTACACTTAGTCACCGTGAAAGCTCCAGATCATACAACTGTGTGATGCATTTCTTACTTAAAATTGTCAAAAACGAAGAGATGATTTATTGCCATTGCTTTTCAACTATTTTAGAATACACAGAAGGACTAAGGAAATAAGGATAGACTGGAACTGAATGGGACACATCAGTTTCTGGTGCTAATGTGAATTTATTGTGTGAAAACACAAATCCCACAAAGAGAAGCACAGAAACTTTTCAGATGGTAGGAGGAGGTTGGTTTAGAAGTTATTGAAAAAAAAATCTATACATATGTTCCTGCTATCTGAAAAGAATGTGGAACAAAATCATGACATAAAGGTAGCTAATAAATACTTAAAACATGTAGCAGAGTTAAAATGTTTGGGAAAACAGCAGTATATCTAAATTACATTCATACATTACATACATGACGAAATTAACAGCACATGGGGTTCAGATTTTCTGTCTGCCCATCAGCCTGAAACTACAAAGATGAAAATATACAAAATCATAATTTTATCTGTTTTGTATGGGCATGAAATTTAGTATTTTACATCAAAGGAAGAAAGACTGTAACAAGACAGGGCTTGTAGGAAATGTTTTGAAAAGTGATGATATGTGAAAATAGAAATGTGCATGCATAACAATGAACCCATTAAAGGATTTTAAATTTTAGCTTGTACAGTGGTCTAAATATTTTCTGATACTCTGTAAGGCAGAGGAAATATTTTTAATTGACTGTGGTTGTTTAGCATATACTAGTTAAATCCAAACGTTTGTGCTCCAAAACTCCCTCAGAAACACAGTACTACTGAAACAGAACAATTTATTAACCACTTAAATACAGCTTTCCTTTAAATATGAGAACTGAGGTTTTCACATTGGTAAAGACTATATGATGTCACAAAACAGAAGACCAAAATATACACTATTTTCTTTAAACTTAATTTCAAGCACAGCCATTATATTGTAATATTAGGAATGAACACTGCAGACATTATAATAAGGTTCAGTTAGATTCTAATGTAAAATGTTTAACCTGCTTGATTAAATAAATGACAATGGCTGAATTATAGAGAACACTATCAGAAATCCCACTATGTGAACAGAAATATTTATCAGTCTTTTGATGGAAACTGGCATCATCTGTAACAGAACTAGTTTAGTTTAAAAATGGGAATATTTTAGCACGTTTGAAATTAGTTTATGAAGAGAGAATCAGTGTCTACTGGTGCCTTTCAATTGTTTTGCTCTATGATTGAAATCAAAGGAACAATTCCTTATACAAAATGTTGGCTTTATATGGACTACTGAAGCACAAACCACATGATTTATGTGACATGGAAAATTACTATTTAACTTTTACACCACTGAAAAGGAAAATTGCTATTTAACTGTTGCACTACTGAATAAAATTTATGGCAATATTTCATTGTTTAAACAGCACTATTAATATATTTTATCAGAAAAGAACATTTCCAAGCTTATAAGCCAAGTAATTATGAATTCCTTTGTACTGATAAATTGTGATATTCTATTAAAGATGCTCAGTTTATATGAACATATTTCTGGGTTCCAAAATTTGAATTTTCACATTGCTGTTCAGAGTGTGGATTATCAATGAAATGTGTACATTTTATTAATTATCATTCTATTTGAAGATGATATGATAGTCTTCTGGGATGCTGTGCCATTAGTCTGGTAGAAACTGACTGACATTTCAGAGGTTCTTACTGTCTCATCATCAGGGTGATGAGTCGTGATGATGACAGCAGTGAGTACCTCTGAAACACCAGTCATTTTCTACTAGACTACAAGGTGTAACGTCCCAGAAGGCAATCATCTTCATACTTGCTGCTGTGAAAACCTGAAATCTTACATTATTATTCGTAACACTATTATCTAATTTCTACTTTGTTTAAAGAGAGAATATAAAATTCTAATCCTGAAAGTCAATTTATATATAACACTTGGTTACAAAGTACGGGCTTCTCACCATACAGTTTAACTCTTTAAAGCCCGGTGGTAACTACATTTATCAGCTGTTTTAATTGTGAATTTTTACCACAGGTTTCATATGGTTCTCAGAGTATACACTGATTATTTCCTTAAAAAGCATTAAATAACTGATCTTTATAATGGAGATATGTTATTTTTTCTTTGCAGTAGGAACTGAGTCTTAAAAAATTATTTAGATCACCTTTGGCTTTAATGGGATAAATCAAGGTCACCTCTGTACAGTGTTTCTGCCTCATCACTGCTGTATGCCAATGTTCAAGACATGTTGGACTGAATGCTAATGTGTGGTTATGTTGAATGGAACACTGGCAAATACACTGTCAATAAGTAAACTGAATGAAACCAGACAGATCTGAAACTCATCTTCAAGACTCACTCCATATCAAGAATGACTCAATGAACAGTGGACAACCAGAACTGCTAGAATAATTTTCATAAACCTGAAATATGTTGCACATAAGGAGGGTGACAAACTTTGGTATACTTCACTGTTCTTTCAGACTGACACTAATATTAACTTTGTTTATTATCACCTTTTAATGTGACACTGTAATTATTGAATATAATAATATATAAATGCATCAATCAATTTTACACATAAAATACCAGCAATTCTCAAAGGCAACTGACCAATTACTTCCACAAGTAATTAGAAAGAGTGAGTAACCAGGACTAAGGTGTCATGTTTCATTCTAATCTTGGGACTTACTGAATCTCCTGATATGTTTTGGAAACATCCAAACAAGGTAAGAAAAAATTTGAAACTGAATTTAGCAGTAGACTATTTTGTTCTTGGAATGTCATGATCATAATCTTCTCTTCATTTTTTTACCTTGAGGACCACTGGCATATACAATTATACTTCACGTAAAAAAAGTACCTATTGTGATAGGAATTCAATAAGTTTAAATTTTATTTCCCAATGATTCATAAAATATACCCTGTTAATAATGTACTTATGGTACACATTGTATACATTCTTGGACTCCAAATGAAACACTTCTGACAACAAATGTAATGAATACTTAATTAGTTTATTTACCTTTCCTGCGCATTTAGTTGTAAAATTAAGTAATGAAAGGTCACAGAAATAGGAAATCTACAAATACATGTTATTTATGTATTGTGTATATATGCTAAACAGTACTTTTTAATTTTCATTCACATTACAAAATAACAAAGTAGAAAACTGTGCCATAAATTTACAGACACACTGAATGTATGCATGTGTGTATATGAACACTGAAATATTCTGTGAGTAATCCTAATATGGCATAGGTAAAAGCCCTCAAATGGATTTCTACTGATCGCACCTCATCTTTTATCCTTATTATTAGACTTTCTTCTAACTGACATAAAGTTTTGATAAGTGGCATGGTACATGAAATCCTCTCCTCTGACAGTTTTATTCTGCTACATAAAATGCATAACCACTGTACAGCCGAAGTGATACATTATGTAACACATTAAATATCAGTTTAGAAAGTACAGAAGTGGCTGCAATGGGCATGGCCATTAAAGTGTGGTGTTTATAATTTTGGCTTTTAAAGTATCTCAGATGTTAGTCCTACTGAGGACATGGATGTCTGCATTTATCATCATCATGATCAAGGACTGGTTGCCCATGCAGATTAAAATACTTTTGACTGAAGAATATTTGGAGGTGACTCCCCAAGAAATGCTATGAGAGAGAATCATGCAGCCAATAAAATAGCTTATGCACCATCTTAGAATGTTAAACCTGGATTCACAATGTAGAAACCTGGTTCAATCCAGTGTTGTCTATACGGAGTTGCTGATGGACAAAGTACTTCAGTTACGTTGACAGTCTGCCTACACAACAATTTTTGATTATAGTTTCAATATTTTCTATTAAGATCCACTATATTTTTCGACCTAAAATGGTCATTTTCAGGAGGTCCTCTTTAATAGTTCAAAACTAATAGGTTTGACTACTAAATTGTATACATATTTTCTGTTGCTGACTTCACCACGTACTAGACTGTGCCTTTAAGCAGCTTACCTATTCAGTACTTCAAAAACTTAACATTCCATCAACGCTTGAAACTTATATATTATCACCCTCGAAGTATATGATAAGACGAACTAGCATGTTGTTATAATATCAATCCTTAGATGGAGGCTTTAATTCTGATCGGACACTTCATTAGACTCAGAATAAGGAAGTTTAGTTTACTTTAGTTTTATGAGCCATGCTCATAACTGAAGGATAATGTTACTGACAGTAATAATACTTCTGTTTAGTCATATAAATGGAAACTCCCTGGAGAAAAAATGGCTAAAACCAAACATCAACAGTAAAAATTTGTTTATGTATCTGAGTTTTGCAGAGCTGGTGAAAGTGAAGACAAAAGCATGGTTGTTAGTGAAAATAATGAATCACAATTATTTGATTAATTAAGAATCAGCAGCAGAAAAAGTAAATAAAAGACTTAACAGAACTGAACACAGTGTTGTTACAGGCCACAATTTCATGTAAACATACATTAATAAAATATAGTACAAGAAACTGTGCTTCATAAGAATTAAGAAAACAATTAACAGAAATACAACACAACACATTTGCAATACATACCTATTAAAAATACGTTTTTAGATGTGTACAATGCAAATGAGGGATGCCATTTGACTGTAATGTCAGAAGAGACATAGTTTTCTTTATACCAATAAATCATACAAATTGGGAATGTTATAAAATTATTATTAATTTTCATAATTTTAATAGTTCTACTCAGATTATGAAATATCACAATTAACAAAGGTAAAAGATCAATGTTACCAAGAAATGCATCCAAAGGGATTTTACGGGGAAGTCTAATTTATTAACCCCTTGAAGATTTCTTTAAAAGGCACCTTATCTGCCCCTACAACTACATACACATAAGTGACAGCAAGTCCCCATCTCAAGAGACATGGCACAGCTGGTTGACAGGGTGGCTGACCATGTCTTGGAGATGATGTAGTCAACAATGAGTTAATAGTTCTGTACAACTATTGGTGATGTTAACAGCTGCACAGTTTTAACACCTAACATTTGAAATTTACATATAACATACTGGAAAATAACTGTTCCGCATAGCTGTTTAAGATGCACATATTACCTTAGGAATGGGTACACAATGGGATCATGGATTCAAATGCCATGAAGGATATGGGTGTTTGCGTGCATTTCCCACCACCTCCAACCATCATACTCTACTGTCATT